TTTTTATTAATAACGTGGCAGAGCAACTAACATGCGGTGGACTTACTCGCAGTTGCTTCCGGGAACTCCCCCTTATAGGCGGGACCTGTCCATCAACTCAAGCATGACGTAAATAGTGTAAACTCTCGTAAAGCACTAAACATATAATAATAACCTATTATATGACACTGGTAACATAAGTTATTTGAGTTTTTATTTGATATCTAGCTTCAAGTGCATGTACTAGTACGCCCTCACTAGTAACAGAGTTCAGTGCACTCTTACAATGACGGTGTCTTGCTAGTAATCTGTTTTATTCACGACTCCATTCAACAACTATAATGGTTTCTCCACACTGGTATGACAACATTAGTGTACTACCACTGGTAACATAAGTTATTTGAGTTTTTATTTGATATCTAGCTTCAAGTGCATGTACTAGTACGCCCTCACTAGTAACAGAGTTCAGTGCACTCTTACAATGACGGTGTCTTGCTAGTAATCTGTTTTATTCACGACTCCATTCAACAACTATAATGGTTTCTCCACACTGGTATGACAACATTAGTGTACTACATATTACTAGTTGACATCTGCACACCGCAGGTACCTCCCAGTGAACCGCTAGATGTCAACCGGTAGACTTTTAGAATTTCACTAATAGCACGAATAACACACAGTTGTCAACCAGTGCACAGTTTTGTCAGTCCATTTAATACTAGTGCGCTGAATTAGGAATGAATATTAGTGCCTAAGGATACTTGCTCAAATATCTTCACGACAAGCTGTTTGAGTGTTGAGTCGATATCCCTGATATTCAGCTTAAGGTCCATGTACTAGTATATTATTTGCTCACATGAGTCAGATAACATGGCATATACATGGACTACTACATTTAACTAGTGAGGCAAAACTACAGCACTAACTTTGGCATACTAGTTGGGCTCTGCTTGACCCTGCACAGGGATATGGTGGGGGGTCAGGCCTTCTGGCGCGTAACAGGTTTGTTATCAGCCCTGGGCCAAGGCCATAAAATGGTGTGGCAGTGGGAGTCTCGGTAGCGAAGGCCATTACATGTTTCTAGTGAGGCACAATTATCATTATCCACTGGTTCAAATTGAATAGCTGCTCACAAAGCCTTCCATAAATCATGTGAATGTTACCCCAGCAACATATTCTCTCAGTTTTTTTTTTTCCACAGCTTTTCCAACAAGGCCACAGATCAGTCTCAAGCTGCGATCCGAATCTCGCGTCAGGGCCTGAGCACCCAGTCGCACACTACTGCAATTTGATCTTTTCAATATTCACCGTGGCATTATCACCCTGTGACTCATCTGTCGCATGTTATTTTTAGTGGTTGTCATGTAACTCCATTGTGTCAAATGTGAGTCACACGCTACAACACACAAAAGGAGACTTTCTTCTGATCTTTATTGAAAAAAGCAACACAATAAGCTACTGTACATACAAGTGGCAACATTTCAGGGAATTTGCACTGAAATGATATGCGTGTAAGCCAAAGATAACATTTACCTCACACACACAATAAGTATTTCTCATATCAAAAACACTCACACCCCAAAAAAACACACTGGGGAAAAAACACCTCAAAACAATAATTTCTCTCACATAAAACAAAACCTCTCACATAGCAAAAACACTCACATTAATTAACTAAAACATCTCATCTCATACACACACAAAACCTTTCACACATACAACACAAACTGCCCGCTCACACCAATAAAATACTTTTCCCAAAACTAAAACGCTCACCCTCGCTAATACATATGACAACAAAACTCTCAAATCTCACTCAAAACACTTTTATGCAGATATGCAGCAAAAGAAAACTGAAACACCCTTATCTGTCACACAACAGATTTATTAAAAATAAAATTCACACATAAAAAAAACATCTCAACCACATCATAAGCTCACAAACTGTCACACACACCAAAAAGAAAACACCAAGAAACAAATCATAAAAGACAAACACAACAAAAAAAAACCTCTCAAAATATTTCTCACACACCAAAAAAAAAACCAACACACACACACACACACACACACACACACACACACACACACACACACACACACACACACACACACCAAAACATTTCGAGCTAATCAAAAATTGATGAGCAAAGCTGAGTTCTTCTCATCTTTGCAAGAACCCCCCCTCCCTCTCTCTCTCTCCCTCTCTCCCTCTCTCTCTCTCTCTCTCTCTCTCTCTCTCTCTCTCTCTCTCTCTCATATTTTTGACCCACCAGATAGAATAACAAAAAAATTATTCAGTTGTGTTGAGTGTTTAAGAGGTAAAGTTGTTTTTGGCTTAATCTGCACCTCGTACGCTGAAGCTTGTGGTACTATAAAAAATACATTTGAACACTTACAGTTAAAGCGTCAACACTTGTGATTTAACAGACTGGCAGGACTGAAAGCAAATAGGAAGAGAGGTATGTGAAACACAAACATGTGGTTCTCCTTGTCCATTGATTGCCTGTAAACAGCAAATGTTGCCATCTTGTCCACCAAACTGTTCTTGAAGCCGCTCATCGTAGCATTCATTTTTCCCCCACAAGCCCACGCAGTCCACTCCTCAGTCGTTCCGTGTCAATCATTCTCCTTACAGAACAGACAAGTCGTGGCAGGATTTAGACTTGAGCCAGAATGCGACACTGGGATTGTTCCTGGCCACTATTTTGTCGAGAAAACGCTTGGCCTTGATGGGGAGGCTCTCCCGACGGGGGCGGCAAGCAGCGCGCCCGCCGCCCTTGGCATCCTTGGAGTCCCTGCGCAGACGCAGCTGTCGCACAATGCCATGGAAGGCCTCCCACACGTTGTGCTGCATGGCGGCGGAGGTCTCGATGAACTTGCAGTCGAAGATGGCGGCGCAGGTGCGGCCTTCTGGAAGCAGAATACAGTATACAGTTTTTTCTTGTTTTTTTTTTTTTTTTTTTTTATGCTTCAGCCAGCCAGCAGCATACATTCGAACCAGTGGTTCTCATACTGAGTCCCTCGAGTTTAGTAACTTGGAGGTTAACCTCACCTCACTTTAACATTGTTCCTTGGCCACAACAAAGCAATATACTTGTATTACACACGGCTGTTGCCTGACTACAAAAACAGCGAATAGGTGTATTTTTCAGCCAATAAAGGAAGCTAGGTTCCCCCAAAGAATCATAGACTAGAAGCTTTTACATTTACGGAATTAGACACGGTTTCTCATTAAAATAGCATGAGACCTTGTGTCAAATCTTTTGACCGGTACTGTATGATTTAATTTAGTATTACGATTTTGAAGTTGACGGTTCTTACCGTTGGTAGAAACCTGCCTGCGTCGCACCAGGTCACACTTGTTGCCCACCAGGATGATAGGCGTGTGTTGGGCTGGGCGAAGGCGGCGCAGGGTGATGCGCAGCTCGGACGCCCGCAGAAAGGATGATCGATCGGTTATAGAGTACAGTAGCAGGAAGGCGTCGCCTGACTGCATGTAGCACTCCTGAGCACATTCACCGTCATTCTGCAAAACACGCATGGATGGATGATCAATATGATGTGTGGATTATGGGCACGAGGGAGAGAAGGTCCAAACACTCAATTCGCCCCTGCCCGAGGTATTGTTAACTCCGGCCGTGGTTTTGACTCACGTCTGCATCCCATGTGTCCAACAGAGTGATTGTTGCAGCCTCTCCATCCACGTGAATTTCCTTCTCGCGTAGTTCTTCTGAAATAATGAAAAGAAAAAAAATCCACCACTTAAAATAATGACAAATCGAATATTTTAACTTTATAAAGATGAATTGATTTCAATGTTAATTATTGTGGTTATAGTTTGCACTTTTTTCTCCACTGTATCATACTTAAAATTTGACTAAAATGTTGCATTACCTAAATAAGCACCACAAAAAGAGCATTAACTGAGGGCGCGAGTTTCGTGAACTGTTCGTAACCTTGAAATGTTGTAACTCGAGGACAACAGGTGTTAACATTTTTTTAGGTATGATTTAGGTATGTTCAAAACCACCTGAAATCACACAACCACAATTGCAAGGGTGTTATTAAAAAGTTAGCCATCTGTGAAATACATTTTTTATTGTAAGACATTAAATTTGTTGAAAACACTCCAATTCCCCCAAAAGTTTCCATTCAAATGAATTGAAGTCTATGTACTCCATTGCTGAGTCCTTACCTCCACATAGCTCGCAGTCATCGCTGTCCATGCTGTCCGCCGCCCCGGAGAAGATGCAGGCGAAGGCAGTCTTCCCGACCCCGCCGGCCCCGAGGAGCACCACGCGGTACGGGTTGACCGAATCAGTGGAGATGACCGAGTCGGACGACGAGGACCAGCTGCCACGGCTGCTTCCTCCGTCAGACTCTCCGGCGGAGCTTGCGCACGATTTGGATCGGGAGATGCAAGCGGGCACGCGGGCGAGGAGGCTGTCAGGGAACAAGTGGCTGCCCGGGTCGCAGATGCTCCAGCGGTGGATCTCGCTCTGGAGGCGGAGGCTGTGCCGGCGCACGCTGGACATCATTATCCCGTCGTTCAAGAAATAAGCAATTAAAATCAGTAGTGACTTGGGCTTCGTTTATTCCCCAATACCAAATGGTTAACGGTTTTAAATGAATTTATAAAGTGCTCCCTGCAGTTTAGCTTCCGGCACTGTAGTTTGGAAGCAGGATTAGTTGAGAAACATGTTGCCAGTGAAATGGAGCGTGTCGTGTCCTCTCGGTGCTCTCATTAATCCTGCAATGCTCATGCTGCTGGGGTTTCCCTGCATGTTTATATGACGAGGTTCGCCTCTCTCTCTCTCTCTCACTCAGTTACTGGAGGGAGTGTTGATCAACTCTCGTGACGGGAGGGGAGCGTTTAGATGCTCTCAACATTAATGTACACTAATGGCCCACAAATCACACGGAGATCCCCTGTAAGTGCATTGAGAAAATGATTACACAACATACGCATGAATATATAAAGGGTCTAATGGATTTGCTCGTATACAAGACTCGACACTTGGAAATGTGTCTTGCTGTTATTCACACTGAATGTTCTTCTCACATTCTGCCAGCGGGAAGGAAGGGCGTCTGACAATTGGAGTTGGGGAGGTGCCAGCAGCATTGGGTGACAATGGCAACTGTGTTTAGTGGTCATGAAATCTCTTTAAATGTCCGGGTCAGATATGAACACGAGAAGGGGGGGACTGGTTTTACCGTCTACTGGTTGACTACCAGTTTGTTCTAGTCCCAGTGGCATGCAAAGGGGTGACCGACCGGGTGTTTTGGGCATCCACCCGGAGGGGGCATCCACAGCCCCCCCCCCCCAAAAAAAAAACCCACGAAAAGCAACAAACAGATCAACAAACATAAACTGCAGTTAGAATAACTATTTAACATGCAATTCTTCACAAGGTACTGTCCCTAATAACCCGGTACATCTTATGTATTAAAACGTTTTAAATTAGACCCATTCATTGATAATACGCCAAATAAAACAGTGCGCTTAATGATCCATAAAATACAGTACAACTCTCTTTAACCGTTTTTCTTTTAAAACATCCTTTTTCCGTTCATGTTGAAAAAAAAATCTGATTTTAATTTGGGTGGATTTTGGAGAGCCATTTTACTAATAGTGGGATTACGCCTCTTTCTCTTTTGTTGTTTGTGTTGTGCAGAGCTTCTGTATCGATGTGGTCTCATCTATCGTGGCCTTCTGCTCTGATCTCCTCTGGCCGACAGTCGATGGGGGCGACATTAAATCCTTGTTAAGTGCTGGAGCGTGACCAGGGTCACAGGCTTTCATATTGCACATTGGCAAGGTCTTGACGGTTAGTTTAGACAGATAGCCACATACAAAGTGACCGCGGTGTTCTGTCCCACATTCTGGGACAGTCAACATGGGGAAAGTACAGAGTGGAACCCCTAATTAGCACAATATGTTGTGGAATGATGGTTGATCATTTTATCCCAAAAGACAAACAGTAATGTAAATATAAAACAATCTGTTCTAAGAGCGAAACAGTCACCAAATTTTTATTAATTACACAAGCTAAGTAATGTTTTCACCTGCTATATTTGTAGAAGTTTGCTACTTCCTTGTTATCGAGAGGTGATTGATGTCACTGTGCCAACAAGTGTGTCGTGATAAATCATTAGGTCTGCCGCAGTAAATTATCCAAATTTACTTAATTAGTTCGACGGTGCAAGACGGGGAATTAAGTGACAAGTTTACCCCCATTATAAAGTTGAGTGATGAAAAAAAGAGATACTCAATAAACCAAACGTTGAAGAAAAACTCCAGCAGTCCTTGTGGTTTCCTCCGAGAAAAGACAATGGCTGTTCGTGATGCTGTTTGTGTGTATTTGTATGTGTTTTATCATATTTGGCTTAAAGTCACAATCGTTTGATGGTTTAAAATTGCCACAATAACAATGCTAATTTCCAATAGCTCATCGATGGCATTTCCTATTGTATGTTAGCATTAAGCTAGTTCACTTATATTACGCGAATGACAATGGCAGTGTGGCTGTGATGAAAGTACTTTAAATAAACAACAGCTTGAAGAAACAACGCTTTACCTCTTATATGGAGAACTGTTAGCTATCTGACAATTAGAGAAAATGATTCAATGTGTGCAAATATTGTTTTAAAAAGTTAATTGAAAAATAAAACTACTCAACGGTAAACATGAACAGGATGTTCTCGGGATGGCTGAGACGCAATGTTGCTCCATCAAACATTACGTGTTTGATGAAGCACTTGTGGCAGCCACCCCCCCCCCCCAAAAAAATTCTCAGCTCTCAGGTCAGAGCGAAATCATCTTAATTTAAACTTTAGAAAGAACAATGCAGCAGTGTGAGGAGCCACACAGGCTGTCTAGAAGTCATAAATACTGTAGAGTGAAGGGCAAAGTGCAGTGTGGAAGGGTGGAGCGTGCATGAATACAATACAGTATGTTCGAACCATGAAGGCTGCTGCACTCCGAAGGCCATGTGCCCGATTTGTTCCTCGATGAAATCACGCCCACAAGCCTTCACCGTGGCTGAGCCCGGGGCCACTGAAGCGGCAGATGATTAAAAAAAATATTTTTTCGGCCTGAGCGGTATGTGCAGCCTGATGCACGTGGCTATAAGCTCATGCAGCTTAAATGTCAATGATTCTCTAAGTGATCATGAATGAAATATAAGACCCACAACCTTGAGGGTTAATAACATAGGCTTGGCCCGACTATCTCTTCATTCAGAGATTTAGGATCACAAAAAAAAAAAAAAGATCCAATCTGTCATTTAGTTTCTCATCAAAACAACTGCACCCCTCCCTTCAGCAGTAGAGTTATTCATTTAAATGCATCCAGTGGGTCTTTGAGCTGGCAGGCTTAAAGGGGGGGGGGGGGTTGGCAGAGGATGGTTAAGAGCTTTAGAACGACTCCATCTCGTGCGCTCATCAGACACATGGCCCCGAGACATTATTTGGATCAATCGGACGAGTTACAGTTGTTTGTCTAACACGTGCCCACTAGCTTGCTGACACAAGATGGGCTTCGAAACAAGCTACCATGCATTCCCTCACTAGGGTCACGAGTGAGCTGGAGCTTACGCCAACGGACTTTAGGAGAGAGGTGAATTGATCAATCGCAGGGCCCGTGTAGACACTCACATTCATCCAGACCATTTAGAGTCATCCATTAACTTAGTTTGCCAGCACAGGGAGAACATGCAAACCAGTCTTTCATTTGTGCAGAGCTTTTGAAACCTTCGGGGTACTCAAAGCGCTTTAACATTCTCACCTCATTCACCTACTGATGACACAACAACTGGGGGTTCAGTATGTTCAGGGTTTCTGCAGGTATCAGCAAATCTAATTCAAAGTTTTTTAAGACAACTACAGTAATATATATATATATATATATATATATATATAAATGGATATACAGTATAAGGCTGTTTGTTAAATATATGATCAGAATGAACCACATCATTAGTTGACTCGCGATTTATCGCAAATTAATCGCGCATTTTATCTGTTCTAAATGTCCAATAAAATATGTTTTTAAGTGTTTCATACTGCTGTTAATTAGCATAAAAGTGGACAAACATGTCTACCTAATACAAATATGGTTGTACCTTTTAGTTCATTGATACAGTAATTTAGAGTTATTGGAAGTTAAAAAGTCATACTATAGAGTTAAAATGAGTCTGAAACATTCATTCCTGGAGGTCATTTTTCTGCCACTAGGTCGGATGTTGGTGACAGGAACAGTACATTTTTCCTTTCAAAATAAGAGCAAATTAAGTGTAACGCAAAAGTAACCTTGTGGACTCCTGTCCATTTTGTTCATTGGCATTACATCTCCTTCCCAGTCTCCGCAAATTAAAAACAAAACAAACAAACAAAAAACCCCAAACAGATCATTTCCCCCCAATTAATCAAAGAAATATATGCTCTTCCTGGAATACTCTCAATTATGTAAACTGCTCTGCATTCAAAAATGTCATTTAGTGACAAAAACACTGAACTGTGTCATACTAGCCCAACCATCCCTTTTCTATCGCGCTTGTCCTTATTAGAGTGTCCTGTGAGTGGAAGTCTATTTCACCTGGATTTAATTGTAGGATACACCCCGGACTGATTACTAGGTAATCTGTTCTAATATGACATGAATTAAACTACAATTTTTTTTTAAAACCGCATGTAAGAATATAAGTGATGAACAACTTTTATTGATTAAAAAAAAATCCTACTAAATACTAATATTAAAACTAGGTCAACACATTGTGAGTTTGATGTAAGAATAACATAACAAGGTTAAGATATATTACAATCGAAACCTTTTGTAGTCAGACTGAAATGAGCTGAATAAAATAGCCATCGCAAGGTGATGAAGAGTAATAATTCAGAGTGAGTTAATAGAGCCCTTGTAACGTAAAAAGCCAAACCTCCCCGAAACCTAGATGTTACACAAGAAAATTGCCTCATAGAGTGGCGTGGTGCCGGTCAGATAAATAATAATTATCCCTTTTATGTAACAACGCAATTGAATACAATCCATACACGGTACACGCGGAACACACGAGAACCTAACTCCGACGCAGCGGCTCAGTGCCGAGGCAGCACCGATGAAAAAGGCTGACGAGTGTCCCACATCACTTAACCACTGTGACTCACCGTGGACAGTCATGTCGGAGGTCACAGCATGAGAAAGTGTCCTCATGGGAAAGCTTGTTGTTCTGTGAAAACTGTCAACTAAATGACTGAACACTTACAACGCAAGGAGAGTGGAAACTAAATCATTCCAAATGAGATGCTCTGAATAAATTCTCAGCACCTAAACATGCCTCATCATTAGGATTAACTGCTGTTGTCAAGACAGTTTTACCTTAGATGGCTCTGAAAAAATGGACAAAAAAAAAAAAACATTCGGAACTCCCGCAAATCTGCTCACCTGGTGACAACTCCATCGATCCTGTTTCTTCATTTAAAATTTAAACTCATTTTTTTAAGCTAACAAGATAAAATTCTGAGCTGTTTGCAAGTGTTACTGACATGTTTGAAACATTCTGACCCTCTTCAGTGGCTTAATAACAACAACCCTTTCAGTAAGACGAATGGAGTTCGACATCACCGCAAAACTACAATCCGGGTAATAGTTTTAAAGTAATAATGCGAACAGGTTCCACCAGGACTGAGAGTAGTCTTGGAGGCAAGCAGTGATGATTATGGTCCCACGTGAGAGATGGTGGTTTGAAAGGCAAAGGTGATGTGGTCTCGGGCGTAATCGAGGTAAGGGTCAGAGAAGGCGTGGGCGTCTCCAGAGAAATGTCTCCACCGCATCAGCTCGGACATGCTGAGGTGCTTCTGGGACGAACCACTGCGGTCACGACCGAGCTGGCACGGACGATTGTTAGAAGCCTGATCTTCTTCCTCTTTAATATCTGAGGAGAAAGTTAAAATAAGATGAGTGTGCAAATATGGTCTTTCTTAACTGATTAAAACCGGCCCTACCGTGAACTGAGCCGTCCATGTCGCAGCTGCAGTTCAACAGGTCATGAGTTAGAGATTGCGTGTCGGAAAGGCTGAAGAGATCTCGTAGCTCGCTG